AAATAATTTAAAATAAATAAATATTAAAAAAAAAAAAAAAACAACTCAGGCTGGGTGTGTGTTCTTGCATGCCCAAAATCCTAAGAGAAGAATCGAGAAGGGATTGCAGTGTGGCCATCCCCCCTTGGGAGTGATTTCTTGCTTTCTATCTCTCCAGTGAGCACACGTGCCCTATATCAAAAATCTCTCTCTAAAAAAAAGATAGATAGATAGTCACAATGGTAAACATTTCATTGGAATTGAAAATTGCGTTTAAATATTTCTCTGTTCTTTGTCAGTAAATTCTTAAATAACTGAGGGTAGTATGCGTGATAGTCAATGTAGTGCTCAGCAGTAAAGACGCAGTATTTCTCACATTCACAAATATAGGTTATTGCATTGGATCATTCAGGTGTGAGAATGTTAAATACACTATAGCAATAACTTTTAAAATCATTTTGTTTTTCTTTATAGTGATGGTATTATTAGAGTGTTTACAGAATCAGAGGATCGAATAGCAAGTGCTGAGGAAATCAAGGCTTTTGAAAAAGAGCTGTCTCAGGCAACCATTGATTCTAAAACAGGGGACTTAGGGGACATTAAAGCTGAGCAACTTCCGGGAAGGGAACATCTAAATGAACCTGGTAAGTATTTCAGAGTATCTACAAGTTAAAAAAAAATGCCATCATATTAGAAATAGGGACTACTAAGAGTGATAAGAAAAAAGTATTGTTCTGCTAATGTTTCAATGTTATTTGCATTGACAGACACTGATTTGGGGGAATTTTTACTGTCACCCCTAACTGCTATGAGAAACCCTGTGTTCATGCCTGTGTCTTGCAGTTTAGACCTGTTTTCTCCTACTTTCTCAACATTTAGCTTATAAACAGGCTCTCAAAAGTCATTCATTTCATACTTTTGGTTGATGAAATTCATGAGAGAAATTATACAGATTGAACATACAAATAAATATCAACAAAGCAATGACTACTTAGTTTGGAACCATTTGACTTTGAAAGTAACTGCAGGGGTCATTAGGTGGCATGATGGTTAATGTACTAAACTCTCAAATGGCCTATCGCAGTTTGAGTCCCAGACCTGGTGGCTTGCTTTCTCATACTCTCCCTCTTTTTTTAAATTTAATTTATTTTATTTTTACAGTGGTGTGATGGTGGGGGTAGGGTGGTAGAGGAGGAATAGAAGAAGATAAAGCTGGAGAGGTTGGTGGGGGCAGTTTATACAGCCTCTCTTCACTTAAGGACTTGCTTGTTTAGTGACTACTAGGACTAGAACCAGTTCTCCAACATGGAGAATCCCCTTTCTCAGTCTATGTGAGTCTAGGGAATCTCCTTTCTCAGTCATTGTCTCATTCCCAGTCAGTATTCACTACATAAAACATTTGAAATCAGACAGGACTGCATTTTTTTTTTTTTAATAAATGTGTGCTTTATTGTGCACCCATAGTAGTAAAAATAAATAAAAGCGATTATGTCAGTTTCTTGGCACTTATCAGTGTATGGTTTTTTTTATGGATAGAATTGCATTATTCTAATATGGGGTCACATGGTATCTATACATACTCTATGGTGTATAGATACATACTCTATGGTGCTACAACATAGCGCAAGGCATAAGGCTTGGAAGTCCTACCTTATTGACCAGTGCTCTGAGAAACCTTGTCATAGGAATGAAAGTTGGTCATTAAGTGAGCAGTGCCTATATTTAGCCTTTTATAACTCTCTAAGGATTTAGACTTTTATCATGAGTGACATGAAAAACCATTAAAGGATTTAGAGCAGAATAATGTTTAGTTCTTAATAAACTTTTGACAGAATCCCGGTGGTTGTTAATACATACTGTGGAAGACCAAGAACAAGGGAAAGGGGTAATTCAATCAACTCAGCTAATAAATGATGGTAGCTTATACCAAGGGATAAATGAGGAGATGGTGAGAAGACAGAGTTTTCTGTTATTTGTTTAAAAGTAAACTAATAGAAGTTGCTCAAGAGTTGACTGTGGAATTTAGCGAAATGGGTTTCACACCATTCTGCGTTTTGGCCTGAGCCACTGGAAGAATGGAGAGCCAGTTACTGAAATGTGTTGGCAGGAGATACTCAGTAATACAACTTTTATTTTTGGTGGCCTAGTTACTTCCCAATAGAATTACATTTTGAAAATATTTTGTGGAACTAGCAGATGGCGTAATGGTTACGTTACTGGACTACCATGTAGTCGAACAAGGTTTGAGTCCCAGACCTGGTGTCTTAAAACACACTGGGCACGTGTGTGTGTGTGCCCAAAATCATGAGAGGAGAGTGGAGTAAAAGGGATTGCGGTATGGCCATCCCCCCTGAGGGGTGATTTCTTACTCCTGTCTCTCTGGCAAATGCACACACCCTCTAGCAAAAATACCTCTCCAGACAATAAAAAACAAACAGAAGATACTTTGTTTAGAGATCAGCAGATGTAGTTATGTTGCTATACTCCTACATTGTTTTTTTGAGAGGTTTTTTTCTCTAGGGCGCGTGTGCTCGCCAGAAAGGCGGAGAAAGAGAGACAGAGTGAGAAATCACCCCCCAGGGGGAATGGCCATGCCACAGTCCCTTTTCCATTCTCCTCTCGGATCTTGGGCATGCATGCACACGCGCCTGGCATGAGTTGGGAGTCTAGCAACATAGCCATTATGTCAACTGCTGGTCCTGCTGGACTCCTGCATAGTTGACCTTGGTTCAATTCTTGTATCTGGTGACTTAAAACTCACACTGGGTGCATGTGCATGCTTGCCCACGATCTGGAGAAGAGAATGGAGGAGAAGGGATTGCAGCATGGCCATCTCCTCTGAGAGGGTGATTTCTCACTGTCTCTCTAGCAAGCGCACACACACCCTATAGCAAAAATCTCTCAAAAAAATTTTTTTTTGTTTAGTAAAATTTCTTTTAAACCAAAATATATACTCTTATATGTTTAAATTTTAATGTTAATAATTTTCTATATAAGTGTTTCTTCATTTTATTCTGCCATTCTACCCTTGAGTTTTACATTTTTTATTTTAAGGTACTAGAGAAGGACAGACTCGTCTAATCAGAGATGGAGAGAAAGTTGAAGCCTATCAGTGGAGTGTTAGTGAAGGGAGGTGGATAAAGATTGGTGATGTTGTTGGCTCATCTGGTGCTAATCAACAAACATCTGGAAAAGTTTTATATGAAGGGAAAGTATGTTGACTTCTACTTTCTAATTACTGTTGTTCGAAATCATTTGGCTAATTTTTTCTTTCCCCCCTGCTGATAAAAATTTCCTCTGGTGTTTGACATTTTAAAATATAATAGGAAAATCAATTTTTCTGTTTTGAAATCGGGTTTTTAAAAAATACTTTTCCATGTAGAGAGTTCCATTTTGCTAGACAAATTAGCCATTTTCTGTCTTTTAGTAGTTTCCATACATAAGCTATTCTTAACCATTTTAGTTTTGGAGATTTTTGTGACACACTTTGTATAATGCCTGACTATATTTAACTTGACAAGACGTGAGGGGCCCTGCAGAGAAGTGCTTATAATGTCAACAGTTTTCGGTATGTAGGGCACAGTAATGGCTGATGCTTTTGGCTGTGGGATCAGCCAATTGGAAATTTTCCCTTGGCCCTAGGTTGAATATGTAATTCCCCCACCCACAAATGAAATACTCATCTTGCAGCACATGTAGATGGTTGCTATTCATCTTTATTTACCCAAGGAAAATTTTAGCATTGTACTTTGGAGAATGTTGAAAATTTAAGAATGTTGAAATAAAGAACACATAATGTCCATGTTATGTTTTATATGTCATTAATCTATGTGAACAGTCGAATGAGTAATAATGTTCTCCTTTTCATATTCATATTTTAGGAATATGATTATGTTTTCTCAATTGATGTCAATGAAGGTGGACCATCATACAAACTGCCATATAATGTCACTGATGATCCTTGGTTAACTGCATACAACTTCTTACAGAAGAATGATTTGAATCCCATGTTTCTGGATCAAGTGGCTAAATTTATTATTGATAATACAAAGGGTCCAATGTTGGGACTTGGAAACTCCAGTTTCTCAGATCCGTTTACAGGTAAGTTAGGGCTTGTACTAAGCCATGTCTACTTCTCTCAGTGCTGGTGGGTTTTTTTGTTTTGTTTTTTTCTCTTTTTGGTGTGTTTAAACATTCATAAAAACCAGGATCTATAGCAGGTAGAAACTCAAGTTTCTTTATATAGTTTGTCTTTTTAGAAGTAGAGACAGCAGGTAGTGCAGAGGTTGAGTGATATATCTCACATAGCTTGAGGGCATGTGTGCATTTGTGCCTAAAATCCAGAGAGAATGGATATGGGATTACAGTATGGCCATCTCCTTGGGTGGTGACTTCTTACTTTCCCTCTTGCTCTTTGTTTTTCCCTGAAAGTACATGTGCCCTGTAGCAAAAAATTGGGGGCCCATCTTGTAGCTCAGTTCTTAAGCGAGCCAGATCCCAGATACCAGATCATGCTTCAGATCATATCCCCATCATACTAAAAAACATGCCAGGTATTTGTGTGTGCAGGCCCTAAATCCTGACAGGAAAAGAAATGGAGGAAAAAGTTCACAGCTTGACCACACTCCACTGAGGGTGCCCTCTTTCTGTCTCTCCACAACATTTCTAAATATATTGGTGAAATTTAGTAAATAGAAATTGTTTTCACACAAGACTAAATAGGTTAGTTATATATCAAGTCTAGGACTGAGTTATGGGTAGTTTTGGTTTAAATGTGATTTGTACCTCATATTTTTATTAAGTTAATTTTTTGTAATATAGTATATATTATCTGAAGTGTTATAAATGGAGTTTGGTGCTCATGCTAATTCTTAAATTATAGTTCTAGTAGCATTAGCCTGAATTCTGGCTCCTAGGAAGTGGGTTACGGGCTGGAGTTCTGGATCCTGGAATTTGAAGTGCAGAAGAAAATAAAATGCTTCTTTTTTTAGGTACAGGGCTATCTCTAGAAGTTTGAAATAAGCACTTCACTGGTAATGTTTTCCTGTTGTCATTTCTGACCCATTTTTTCATGTGCTAGTGCTCTTCAGTTTTCTAAAACAACCTCACGTCTTACCTATAGACTGCCTTTTCCCCTCATGCATACTCCATGTTCTGAAATTATCTTGTCTTTCTAGTTCAAAATTCAGTTGCTCATTCATGTAATAAAGCAAATCTCATCTGTAAGTTGACTTAAACAGAATTATCATAGTAACTCATTACTGAATTATAAACAGTGTACCCCTCCAAAATACTTGCACTTAAAAAAGCCAGGTGCTTAGTACTTGATTATTTCTGTTAGAGGAATGTCAGACTAAAGTGCCAAAAAGAGAATGCATACTGCAGTACTGTGAAAACGGCTGTGGGTAAAGCACAGATATTAAAGCAACTGGGTCCATCTGGAAATCTAATAATTACTTGGTTTGTTTTGTTCCCCAAAAACTAACTTTATAAACATTTTTACATATCTTTTTGTAGGTCTGATTATTTCACTAAGGATGCTAACAAAACTTATATATGCACATACCACACATTATTATAAACATATAAATGAAAATCTATTTCCTTTGTAGCATTCATCCTCTTTGTAATTCTTTTCTGTGGTCGATTGTAAGCTTCAGTGGATATAAGCAATTTTGTTCCCTGTTGGATCCCCAGCACTGAGTGCACTGTTTGACACATGAATTAATGAACCCAAGGCTTCTCTAAAAGATTAACATTTAATGCCTGTGGATTTGATAGCAATAGCATTCAGGAATTCTAGTGAATTTGTATAGGAACAGGGACAGGGATTGATTGAATGTGCATATTATTTAGATCAGAGATCACCTTTAGTTTTCTTTTCTATTTTTGAACTCAGTTATTTTAATATTTAAGTTCTGGGACTAAGATATAATAAAGTGTTAAAATATTAAAAACAGAACTTGAAGAATCATTGAAATTTTAGTTTCTTCCCAGATTCATGACTTCTAACTGTAGTTTTTGTTATTCTATCATAGGACAGCCTTTCTTTGTAATTTTTTCCCAAACTTGGGTTCTCCTCATAAAAGCATTGTGCTCTTTATGAAATGCAATATTTTAGTGTACTTCAGCTTTTCCTTTGTTTTGCATGCACAGGTGGTGGTCGGTATGTTCCAGGCTCTTCAGGATCTTCCAACACACTGCCAGCAGCAGATCCTTTTACAGGTAGGATGCTGTTTTGATTAATACCTTTCCTCACTAAATATATATAGCATTTTGTACGGTAGGGCTCCACATGTTGGATCCAGTGGCTGGTAATTCTCTAATCTATCTTTCTAATTTTGATGGATCTCCTTTTCTTTATCTTATAATTTTTGCTTTTTGCTAGAACACTTTTATAGATTTTCTCATGGCTTTTAAATAGCATATTATTAGAATCTGTCATTTTCTTCAGTGATCCTTCCCAAGAGGAAAGCAGAGTAGTTAAGAACATAGGTGTTATAGTCAGATAGACCTTGTTTCAAAATCTGGCTCTACCACTTACTTGCTATGAGAAGTTGGCAAGTTACTTAACCTGTCTGAGCCTATTTTTTTTATCTGTGAAATTAGATAATAGGGGAACCCACCAGCCAAGACACAGCATGATTGCTATCACTGATGAAATGCTACCAGTCACGAGCAGAGAAGGAGCCATGTGAGTCCTTGATACTGGATGGAGCAGTGCAATCAAGAAGTTTGTCCAAGCATATTTTGACTTAGCATTGAAGGAGACATTTCACCCAGCCACCCAGGATTATTCTTCCCAATCTAAATTATTTATTGCCTTCTTGACGCCCTTGAAGTGTTGGTGCATCTCTTCAAAGTGAATTTATGTGTCAAGGTATGCATGCCTCAGCATCAGCACTAATGGAAAAAAAATTGCCAGAGTTGCAACTATTGCAGCTGAAGAAGTCTTTTTCAGAATGGTTTTGATATCTTTTATGATGCTGTCATTGGATCTTCAGCCAGAGTCCCTGGACAATATACCCAGTTTGGGAAGAGATTCATTTATAGTCTTTCTGGTGTGCACTGGCCTCACACTTAGTACTGTGAGCTATAAAAATGACAACTTACAATCCTCTCTCAGATACAGACTGGATCAACACACAACCTTAGGTCAGTGTCAAGAAGCTGTGAATTGCTCTCAGTGAGCTTCCTTTTCTCCTGTGACTAAATTGGTAGTCCATATGCAAATGGCTGCATCCCATGAGTTGATACCCAGTGTATTAAAGTAACCAACTATCAAACTAAATATGGAGGTGGTACAGTGGCCGTTAAGGAAGTCTTTGATGACATAATTGGATTTCAAATGATAGTAAAGAATTGAAGAGTAGATAAAAATGACAACTTACAATCCTCTCTCAGATACAGACTGGATCAACACACAACCTTAGGTCAGTGTCAAGAAGCTGTGAATTGCTCTCAGTGAGCTTCCTTTCTCCTGTGACTAAATTGGTAGTCCATATGCAAATGGCTGCATCCCATGAGTTGATACCCAGTGTATTAAAGTAACCAACTATCAAACTAAATATGGAGGTGGTACAGTGGCCGTTAAGGAAGTCTTTGATGACATAATTGGATTTCAAATGATAGTAAAGAATTGAAGAGTAGATAAAATGATGCTTTTTCTCTGTGGGCAGTTCAGGAACAGTGATGAGTTAAAACTCATACCAGCAGAGTTCCCAAATCTCATTGGCAGCGTTTTTTCTGGAACAGAAAGAACATATCAAGCTTCAACCAATACCAACAAAATCAAGAAAATTCTTGGGGCTTTTATAACCAGAGCATGTCTCACTGTTGTACAATATCAGTAACTCAGAAGATGCAATGATTGTGTCAATATGCAAAAGATAGTGTGCCAAATGTTCAAGAGAATTACAGTATCATTAGGAGAGCTGAGCTACACTTTATCAGAAATAGGTAACATCATCTATCAGATTGAGATACAAAACTAAATGGTCTTAGATATTAAAGTGTTTAGCAGAATGCCTGGGATATATTTAAGCCATCCATACATGTTACTTACCTATTGTTGATGATGTTTCCCTCACTCTTCCAATAGCACTGGGGTGAGAAGATATCCCCATCTGGCTCATGACTTAAGGTTAATCTTGGTTCTTTTTTTTTTTTTTAATTTATTTTTCCTTATTGATTTATGTGGTTCTCAGGACTTCTAATAGCCATTAGTAGCTTGTTTAAGTTACTTATCCCAATTTATGTCTCCCAAGATTGTGATTGAGTACATTAGTGAGGAGAGTAAATATACTCATGTCCTGATCCCTCACCTAAGGATTCTGATAAATGGCCTCAAGTGTCAATTGCTCTTAGGGTGTTTTTTGTTTTGTTTTGTTGGTTTTTTGTTTGTTTGTTTTGTGCTAGTGGGTATGTGTACTCTTAGAGATAACTCTAAGAAGAGTGTCATAGGAAGAAAGAAAAAAAGTACCCCCAGTGCACTGTAGTCATGCCACAATCTTTTTTTTCCATTTCTCCATCCTGTTGTGATTCTAGGATGCACACACACACACACACACACACACACACACACACACACACACCTGGTGTGTTTCTCAATCTTCTGGGCCAGGATTTGAATAGTGGTCAGTCATGTGGATCGAGCTTCCTGTGCACAGTGATCAACCAGTACACTATGTGGCCAGCCCTAGTCTTGGGTATTATTTTTAAGTTGTTCTCTATGTGTTTCTTTCGTCTTAAAGAGTTTTTTTGTTTGTTTGTTTGTTTGTTTGTTTGTTTTGCTATAGGGCGCATACGCTCACCAGAAAGACAGAGAGACAGAAAGCGAGAAATCACTCCCCATGGGGGATGGCCACGCCTCAATCCCTTCTCCTCCATTCTCCTCTCAGGATTTTGGGCATGCACGCACACGCACCCGGTGTGAGTTTAAGCCACCGGGTCTGGGACTTAAACTGTGGTCGACTACATGGGAGTCCAGCGATGTAGCCATTATGCTAACTGCTGGTCCCGAGTTGGTCTCTGTGTGTTTCTGTAGTAGAGCTAATTTGGAGAACTCTTAGGTAATGGATAGACTCTGGAATCCGCATATTGAACAGGTGACTCATCGAAGTGTCAGACCACCACATTTTAAAAAGTGTAGAACTACACTCTTCCTCTTCATAGCTTAATGCTTGGGGCAAGTTACTCAGCCCTATTCTTCTATAATAAAATATTATAAGAGTATCTAACTGATATTTTAATGAATATGTACATATATAATGCTTGGCATGCTGGCTGGCATCTGGTTACAGCTTAACAAACTCACTTATTCTGTGTTCTTTATTATTTTAAATTATCTTATTTGCATCTTTTTGTTTGCCTCTTTTGTCTGTGTTGCTTTGAATATACCAGCTCATAGATGATAAGACTAGAACCATAGGTCATCTCTCCACAAATGTTTTTCCGCACTAAGTACATAGCGTTTTGTACTATATGGCTTTACATGTTAGATCCATTGCTTTCAACATCTCCAAATTCTACTCCTTCTTTCTCTATGCTTACTTCTATGATTCACCCAAGAGTGCATGTGCTTGCCTCAGACAGACTAACAGGAAGAGAGGAAAAAGGACAGAGCACCTGCCCAGTGGGGAGCGGTCATGCTACAATCTCTTTCTCTGTCTGATCAGCTTTTGGGGCACACATATACATGTGCCCAGCGCATTCTTTAAACTGCCAGGGTCAGGATTCAAAATGTGTGTTTGGCCATATGGGATCCAACTCCTTTAACCACTAAGCCATGAAGTGGTCCATCTACACTTTTTGTTTCTTTCTGTTTTCCAGAATAAACACAAGTGTGATTTAGCTGGAGTAACAGCATCCTTAAACTCTTACCTAAGTCTTTCCTGATTGTCTTATGTGCTATCTAGTTCTGTCCCTTTTTTTAAAAGAATTATTTGTCAAAATTTATTTATTTATTTTAAAAGATATGTATTTAATAATTCTTATTTTAGTTTGCTATAATGCACATGGACTCACCAGAGCCAGAGAGAGAGAGAAGGAAAGCAGAAAGCAAGCTATCAGGTTAAGGACCCCAAACCCTGGTCAACCATGTGGGAGTCCATTGCCTTGACCACTATGCCACCTGCTGGCCCCACATTTTATTTATTTATATTTTCATTTTGCTATCAGGCTCCTACATTCACCTGAGGGGGGCACACTGAGAAAGCAAGCTGGCAGGTTCTGGACTCAAACTGCGGTTGGCCACATGGGAGTCTAGCACCTCAATTTCTGGCAATTCTCCCCTTCACTTTAATTGGAAAGTGTTTATATTGGATTCTGGAAACTTTTCTTTGTCTCCAGTCCACTTAGGTAATTCATTAAACATCTGCAATTATAATGTGTAATGCATTAGTGTTTATTTTGTGGCTTTAGCTAATATTTGTGGGTACTTATTACATGCCAGGCACTGTTCTAAGCATTTTTCTGCGTTATTTTACAGCATAGTTATTACAAATATAAAGCTGCCATTCAGAGGTGTGACTAATGATGACAATAAGTCATTCTGTGTAAAGAAGGAATAGTCTGGAGTTTATAATTTGCATTCACTTTGCTTACTTAGGAGTATAATTGCATTGTAGGTGCTGGTCGTTATGTGCCTGGTTCTACAAGTACGGGAACTACCATGGCTGGAGTCGATCCATTTACAGGTACATAATTTTTCTTTCTTTTTTTTCTTTCTTTCTTTCTGTTTTGTAGATTGTTAAAAGTTGCTGAAACTTTAGTGAAACGAGTAAGAGGTTTTGTTTTTTTTTTAATCATCTTTTTTGTTTGTGAACATTCTACATAGTAAATCAAGACCAAACTTACTGGTGTCACTGTTAGTGTTTTCTCAGAATTGTCTCATTACCATTCATTTCAATCATGTGGGGAGCTTTAAAAGTACTTCAGCCTTATGTCCCCAAGATATGCAGTTTACTCGGTCTAATATTGCTCTCTGTTGGACGGGACGTTGGCAAACATACTTTTGTCATCTTCTAGTGTGATTTGTAATTTGCAGTCCAGATTGGAAAATACTGTTTTTCTGTAATAAAGCTGGTTCCCTTACTACCTTTTGAAAACCTATGTTTGTTCTGATCACTTTTCCTTTGTTCTAAGTGTGTTGAGTTGTTACCCACTGAGTTTTACATTGTTCTCTTTTAAGAAGACTCTGGAAGAGAATTGACTTGGATGATTTAAGCTTGAAATAGCCCTCAGAAACTAATTTTTTTATTATTACCTACCTAATAGATAATTTTATTTTCTATTGATAACTTAGAGTGTGACATACCTTGTTCATTAAATATATACAGATCTGTTTTTCTCTGCATTGGCTACCAGGGCTACATTTGTAGTTGATCTCTTTCAATTTTAACAGCTCTCTTAGCATGTAGTTCTCACTACTTAATGAAGAATTAAGATGTAAAAATAAATGAAAGACAGGATCCTGATCCTTGCTTTTAGGAGTTTACAATTTCCAAGGGTTTATAAAGATGATACAGGAAGTGATTAGAGAGAGCCAGCCCCATAGCACAGTGGGAGCCAGATCCCACATGGCTGATGGTTCAAATCTTGGTCCCAGCGACTTGAGAAACACAATTCAGTGTGTATGCATACATTTCTCAAATCCTGACAGGAAGGAAAAATGGAGGACAAAGGATTATACTGATCCATTGAAGAGGTGCTTTCTTTTTCACTCACATCCCTAACTCTGGTGAGCAATACATCCTCTGGCAATAATGAAGAAGGAAGGAAGAAGAAGAGAAGGAAAGCAAACAAGCAAGCAAGCAAAGATTAGAGAAAATGCTGCATCATTTGGAATAAGAGATAAAAGACATGAGAAATCAATTTTCTTTATAGATGATGGGACTAGAAAGTTTCATAACTGTTTTGTAATTCTTTCATCTTTTTGAAAATTTATAGCTTTGCAGCCAACAGGAGATGTTGAGGTGAAGGTGCTGGACCTCATATGGCCAGTTTCATGGTTCAAGTCTCAAACCCAGAGGCTTGAGAATCACACTGGTTGCATGTACATGTGTGCCCAAAATCCTTAGAATAGACTGAAGGAGAAGGGATTGCAATGTGGCCTTTGCCCATGAGCAGTGATTTCTTACTTTCTCTCTCTAGCAAGTGCACATGCCCTATAGAAAAAAAGAATTACAGTTTATATTACATCTTAAACAGATAAGTAGGAAATATGAAATGGAAGGACCTTGTTCTACATTTAAGCTTTTGTTTCCAAAACCAAAAATTATTAACTCAATAAACAGAATATAAAATCTTATGAATTATTTATTTTTTAAAGTTGCTTTTTTTTCATTGCATGCTCTGTGTAATTACATGTCTCAGTAATTACAAAAACAAGGTCTTTTTTGATCACTCCTTATGTTTTTTTATCATCTTCTATTCTATAAATAGGAAATAGTGCCTACCGATCAGCTCCATCTAAAACAGTGAATATTTATTTTCCTAAAAAAGAAGCTGTCACTTTTGACCAAGCAAACCCTACACAAATTTTAGGTAAGTCTATTCTAACTACTTTTCTCACTCATAGATTTGAGATGCTCTTAAGGCTTTTTCTTCTCCTAACGTGTCAGGAATTGGGTACTTAAATGAATACAGACTCTTGTTGTGGAACCATACAAATAATCTGGTAATAACCCTTAGTTTGTAAGAAGCCCATACAAAGTAAGTGCTTTTTGAGGCTTTAATGAGAAAAAAACTGAAAGGGAAAACATTGTAAGTCTCATCCTCAACCCTTAATGTAGTCAGCAAAAAAAATAAATAAATAAATAATAATAATAAAAATTAATAAGTAATAGACTAGCAGATGACGTGGAGGTTAAAGCCAGCTACATAGCTGAAGTCTCAGACCCAGTGGCTTGAAAAACCATCTGGGATGCATGTGCATATGTGCCTAAAATCCTGAGAGGAGAATGGAGAAAAAGAAATTGCAGTGTGTTCACCACTCCCCCTCCCATGCACTGAGGGGTGATTTCTCACTTTTGCTCTCTTTCTCTGTCTGGACAGCACACATGCCCTATAGCAAAATTAAAAGAAACAAAATTGAATAAGTAAACATTAGAAAAATAAAGATCTTATCTTTTAAAAATTAGTGACCCTGGGACAGCTGGCGGTTAAGGTGGCTCGATCCCACATGGCTGAATGTGCACTTCAAGTCCTAGATCTGGTGGCTTGAAAACACATCCTATGCATGCATACCCAAAAGCCCAAAAGGAGAAAAGGAGAAGGGATTGAAGCATGACTGTCCCCCACAGGAGGGGTGCTTTCTCACTTTCCCTCTCTCTCTCTGGTGAGTGCCTGTGCCGTCTTGCAAATTGAAAAAATAATCAATAAAAATTAAAAAAAAATATTAGTACTCCTTATAAATGACAAAAGGCTATTTTACATGGCCTGTTAAAAAAAAAAACTAAACTACCCAGGCTGGCCCTGCAGCCTAGTGGTTAAAGTAAGCTGGATCCCACACAGCCAACTGCAGTTTGAATCCTGGCCCCAGTGGCTTGGAAAAACACATCAAGTACATGCGTGTGCATGCCAGATTATCAACAGGATCAAGAAACAGGAGAAAGTTTTGCAGTGAGACCACGTGCCATTGAAGACTGCTCTCTCTTCTCCAGTGAGCACATATGCCCTCGGGCAAAGAAAAAAAAAACCTATAGACTTTGATTGTTTTTTTCTGTTAAAATTTTTTCAAATAAAAATGACAAGTTTTGGGTTTTTTGTTGTTGTTTTAATACTTATTTAATTCAATTTGTTATTATTATTTTTAACTTGATCAGAGAAAGAGAGGGAAAGGGAAAGCAAGAGAGCAAGCCACCACTCCAGAACTCAAACTGCAGTGAGGACGTGGGAATCCAGCGTCTCTAACCACCACATCACCTGCTAACCTCTTAAGTTGTTTTTTTAAGAACCACTTGCTGGGAACCAGCAGTTAGCGTAATGGCTATGTCGCTGGACTCCCACGTAGTCGACTGCGGTTCGCTTCCTGGATCCGGTGGCTTAAAACTCACGCTGGGCGCGTGTGCATGCGTGCCCAAGATCCTGAGAGGAGAATGGAGGAGAAGGGATTGGGGCGTGACCATCCCCCCTGGGGGGTGATTTCTCACTTTCTGTCTCTATGTCGCTCTCTGTCTGTCTGGCGAGCGCACGTGCCCTGTAGCAAAAAAAAAAAAAAAGAAAGAAAGAAAGAAAGAAACTCCCCTTTTCTCCAGCCTCTGCCTCTCATTTCATTGACCACGAGAATAAACAGGTAGACTTAGCTGGCCAGTAACATTCTAGCACCAATTTAAAAAAAAAAAAAAAAGAACCACTTGCTCTATTTGCCACAAAGATAATGGTGAGACTTGGATATAACATAACATGCAGACCTGCATAAAATGTTTAGTTTTTTAGTAAGTATTATCCTTCATATTATTCATAGGTATTTTCTAATTTTTTAAATTTTGAACAATGAATTAGATAGAATAGGTATACTTTTTACATTTTAAAACTTGTACAGGGGCTGGCAGGTGGTTAAGGGCACTGGACTTCTACCTGGCCAACTGAGGTTCAAGTCCCAGACCTGGATGCTTGTTCTCTCTCTCGCTGGTCAAATTAAAGTAAATAAAGTTAAATAACAGAATAATTCTTTAAAAAAAAAAAAAAAAAACTTATACAGGGCTATCCTGTGGCCTGGTGGTTAAGTCAGTTGCATCCCACATGGCTGTCTACACCATTTAAATTCTGGAATTGTCAACATGAAAAACACATTGAACACATGTGGGCTCATGTCCAAAATTGCCAAAGTTCACAAAAATGGAGGGCTTATGGCGTGACCATTCCTCCCTCTCCCTTTATTTCTGCTTTCTGTCTCTTTGTGATAATCACATGTGACCTCTGGCCATTTTGTTAAAACTCTTGTACAAGTCTAAGATGTTTCTTGCCGTTTGCTTTCCTTAAATAAACTTTGTTTTCATGTTTGTTACTATTAGCATTTTTAATGCCAGAAAATAGTGAAACAAGTCCAAGTTTCCATTTATGATTGATAAAAATATATACATTTGCACAATTTAACTTCTTAAACCTTTGTGGGAGGAATTAGGACTTTTTTATTGTTAAAGATATTTGAAGAGGGACCAGCAGTTAGCGTAGTGGCTGTGTCGCTGAACTCCCGTGTAGTTGACCATGGTTCCCGGACCAGGTGGCTTAAACTCATGCCGGGCGCGTGTGCGTGCGTGCCCAAGATCCCGAGAGGAGAATGGAGGAGAAGGGATTGTGGCATGGCCATCCTCCCTGGAGAATTTCTTGCTTTCTATCCTCTTTCTGGCGAGCACACGCACCGTATAGAAAAAAACCTCCCCCCCCCCAAAAAAAAAAAAAAGATATTTGAAGAAACTGCTAAATGATTCAAATTAGTGTTAATGATAGCAAGTGTACCAGTATTAAAGATTCATGTGAGAGATTGGACGGAAATAATGTGATGGCACATGGATCAAAGTTAATAAATTAAATATCAACAGACATTTAACTGTTCTCCTATTACATTGACAACCACAGAAATGACATAAGTTGACTAAAAAGTTGCTACACATTTTCTCTTTGGGAAAATAGGAGGTTGATGTAACCTTGGGTATATGTGACATCTAATACTGCTCTGAAAACCATTTAAAATTGTTAGCAATGTAATAAACTTTAACTTTACTCAAAATAGAACACTTCAGAAGGTCTTAGAATAGAACAGAAAGGGCCACCAGGTGGTGTGGTGGTTAAAGGTGCTGGATTCCCACATGACTGACCGTGATTCGAGTTCTGGATCTGGCGGCTTGCTTTCGCGCGCAGACGCACACTTGCTCTCTCTCTCTCTCTCTCTGTCCCTCTCTGGTCAAATTGAAATAAACAAATGAATAAATAAATAAATAAAATAATTCTTTTTTAAAAAATAGACAAAATAAAAATTATGACAGTAACCTTTCTTTTGCCATACTATGCTCAGGTTAAAAATAGTCACAAACGTTACCCCTTCATTTTGCGGTCTTTGATAATTGCCAATTCTTAACCCTCCATGTTGTACAGTGTAGTACTCATTGAAAGTTTTGTCATCTATGTATTATTTGGCTAATTACAGTTAGAGAATTTTGAAGGTTTGATTTCGGGTTCTAGGTAAATTGAAGGAACTTAATGGAACTGCACCTGAAGAGAAGAAGTTAACTGAGGATGACTTGATACATCTTGAAAAAATACTGTCTCTAATATGTAATAGTTCTTCAGAAAAACCCACAGCCCAGCAACTTCAGATTTTATGGAAAGCTATTAATTGGCCTGAAGGTAAATAAATACTCTTCCAACTTTTACCTAAAAGAAAGTGCATGTTTTCTATCAGTAGTACTGAGGTTTCTAGATGAAATAAAAGTTAACCTGAGAAGTTCCAATTCAGGTTGTGAAAAGCATCACAAAAAAATGATTTAGTACACCTCTGTAATTCATAGTCTTTAGTCATGTACGTTATGAACATCTGATGGTCATGTAATGGTTCCCTTACAGGCACCAGTTTGTATTTTGTCGCAGAGCATTTATGGATCCTCTGCAAGCCATCAAGAAAACTCTTGGTGACCTGTTAACCTAGGCTACAACCACTCATTACAAGTTTCCCTCAGTTATGTCACTTAGGTCTTTCTTAATTCCAAAAGTGTCTGCTTCTTTATTATTTTTTCATACCATGGGTTTATTGGAGGGAAAAGATCATTTCTATCTAAAAATGTCTCTAATTGTGGATTTAGCTGAGCTCTTAATGTGTTCCTCTATCTTTGTATTTCCTGCTAATGGCATAATTATTGGTAGATTCTGGTTCAATCACTTTTTTTTTTAGGTGAAGATCCTTCATAATGATGCTGCATACCAGCTTCATATTGTGGAGTACATAATATCGGGTCACCTCACTTTGAGTGATATTTAGAATGTATAGTGCATTTATTCAGATAGTGTCTACCCAGACCCTGAGTTGTAAAGCTCCAGTGAACCTATAAGCTTTCTTTCAACATTTTATAACTGAATTTCTTCTCCAAAGAACTTTTTCTATCCTATTCAGCCTTAAGGTCTTGTTGTAGGATTTTTAAAAGTAAGGACTCCACTCCATTTATTCAGTTCCTCATTGAACAGTAAATATGTTTCAGGGTATTTAATAATCTGACACACTTACCTTATTTTTTGAAAGTGTGTATGATTTTATACCAATAAATCCAGTCCATATATAGAAAATCAGTTAACACAACTTTTGGGAATATGAACCTTTTGTAAATCAGGCACATGATTTTTTTATTTTTTACTTTTAATGTTTGTGTGTTCATTTTATAACGGGAAAATTAAATTCCTAAAAATTGAGTAACAGCAATAAGTTTCTGGGTTTTCATAAACATTAATGAACTCTTCTTTTTCATAGATATTGTCTTTCCTGCACTTGACATTCTCCGGTTGTCAATTAAACATCCCAGTGTGAATGAGAACTTCTGCAATGAAAAGGAAGGGGCTCAGTTCAGCAGTCATCTTATCAACCTTCTGAATCCTAAAGGAAAACCGGCAAACCAGCTGCTTGCTCTCAGGACTTTTTGCAATTGTTTTGTTGGCCAGGCAGGACAAAAACTCATGATGTCCCAGAGGGAATCACTAATGTCCCATGCAATAGAACTGAAATCAGGGGGCAATAAGAACGTTCACATTGCTCTGGCTACATTGACCCTGAATTATTCTGTTTGTTTTCATAAAGACCATAATATTGAAGGGAAAGCTCAATGTTTGTCAGTAATTAGCACAATCTTGGAAGTTGTACAAGACCTAGAAGCCACTTTTAGAGTTCTTGTGGCTCTTGGGACACTCATCAGTGACGATTCAAATGCTATACAATTAGCCAAGTCTCTAGGTGTTGATTCTCAAATAAAAAAGTATGCCTCAGTATCAGAACCAGCTAAAGTAAGTGAATGCTGTAGACTTATCCTAAATTTGCTGTAGCAATGGAGAAAGGAAGTGGGGATTTTAAATTAGTGTTTTTTCCTCTCACATTTTACATGACTGATTACAGATGATAAAGAATACTGTGTATTAAGTAAAATTTCAGATCTTGTAAAGTGACAAAGAGGGGAAACAAAGGAGAAATAAAATTTTTGCACTGATGAACTGTGAGATTTTCCTGTGTAATGTGGGTAGGTTTTCACAAGTATAAGAAAGAGCCCTAATCAACAGCACTATCACTGTGGCATCTCTCCCTTACCTTAGCCACTTGGGAAGAGACAAGAGCTTTTGCGTATGAGAGGGCTTCAAAAGTTCATAGGAAAATGAGATTAAAGTGTGAATTTATTTTGACGTAAAAAAATTTGTACTCCATGCATAGGTTTTTCGTAATACACATTTTCTACAAACTTTTAGAAGATCCCCCATCTATAACCTGCTTTTACTACATATATACACCAAACTGAATCATTGATGGTTACCTTTTTTTTTATATTTTTTGTTGTTTGTTTTTCCTTTTTCTTTGCCAGAGGATATGTGCACTCGCCAGAGAGAAAGCACCCCGAAGATGGCTGCTATACCACAGTCCTTTTTCCTATATTTCTCCATCCTATTAGAACTTTAGGCATACATGCCCATATACTCGGCCTGTTTTTCAAGCTACTGAGGCCAAGATTTGAACCACAGTTTGCAGAATGGGATCAAGCTCCCTGTGCGCAGGCCTTAACTGTTGTACTACAGGGCCAGTCTAGTGGTCGTATTTAATTCATCTACTTGCTTTACATTGCTAAATTCTTTCAACACCACTGTTACATTTCAAGGTCTTGTTTTAGGATAACTACTATTTTTTTTTTTTAAATTAAGTTACTCAGGTATTGAGTGACCAGCAGGTATCATGGTGATCAGGATACTGGATTTCCACATGACTGACCACATTTCAAGTCCTGGACCAGTGGCTTGCTTGCTCGCTCGCTCTCTTTTTCTCTTCTCTTGTATTTATATATGCCCTATAGCAAAATTAGTAATAATAATAGTAATAAAATTAAATGCGTAACTTTTTTTAAAAAGTTATTTATATACTGAAAAAATATTAAATAATTTCTTAAGTCACTTGTAAATAGTATATTTATTTGATGGCTCATTTTTATATGAAGAAAAACAAACTGTTCAACTATAGTAGGTCATGAATTAGTTCAAACAGAAGGTTTCAAATCAGCTCCAGGCTTAGCTCCAGTTGTTTGTTTGTGTTTTTGTTTTTTGTTTTTTTTTGTCCTTCGCTATTTAAGGTAACTTCATTTTTTGTTACAGTTTTTATTTTTGGGCATTTTCATTATTTCAGAAGGGAATTCAGAAAATGTTAAATTTTATCTATCAGGCATTTATGCAAGCAATAGTCCATCCAAACATGTTATTTGAAAGCCTAGACCTTATATGAAATTAGTACTTGTGAGAGCTTCCAACATGGTCCAGGCAATTACTAGACACTTCGCTATTTAATCCTCAAAACCCCTTTAAATGAAGGATGTTGTCAGTAAAGATAGTAAGATGAATCATGATAGGAGAAAAAATAAAGCAAAGAGTGAGTTAAAAGTATATGTCATCAGGACCAACAGATGGCATAATGGCTACGTCTCTGAACTTCCATTTAGTCAACCATGGTTCAAATCCTGGACCCTGTGGCTTAAACTCATGCTGGGCGCATGTGCATGCAGGCATGCCCAAGATCCCAAGAGAAGAATGGAGGAGAAGGGATTGCGGCATGGCCATCTCTCTTGGGGGGTGATTTCTCGATTTCTTTTTTTCTGGTGAGCACACGTGCCCTATAGGAAAAACCACTCCAGAAAAAAGTACGTGTCATGGTGTATTTTCTAGAGAGGAAGCCACAGATTTATTTCTGAACATCTTAGCAACTAACACAAAGAAGGAACTATTTGATTAATTATGTGATTTATTGTGTTTACAATAATCTAGGGTTTTTGTTTTTGTTTTTGTTTTTTTAAGTTTTTACTATAGGGCACACACATTCACCAAGAAAGGGAAAGTGAGAAATCACCCCCCAGGAGGGATGGCCATGCTGCAATCTCTTCTCCTGGGATTTTGGACATGCATGCATATGCAGCCAGTATTTTTAAGCCTCTAGGTTCACAACACAAACCACAGAGCCATGTGGCATCCAGCATCTTAACCATCACACTATCTGCTAGCCCTGTAATCCAATTTCTTTTTGTTTCCATTTTCGTTTTTGTTTGCCGTAGGGTGCATGTGTTTGCCAGAAATAGAGGGAAAGTGAGAAATCATCCCTCAGTGGGTACCACAATCTTCTCCAGTCTCCTCAGGATTTTTGGCATGCATACACAAGCACCCACCATGATTTTCAAGCTGCTAGATCCAGGACTCAAAGTGGTAGGCCATGTGGAAATCCAGCGTCCTAAACGTGGCATCTACTGGCCCCCATAATCCAATTTCTTAAAAGAGGTGTACCTTCCTATTTCTAAAAAAGTAGGAAAGATCTTATAAAGAGGACTTTGTTTTCGGGCAAGCAGGTGGCGTGGTGGTTAAGATTACTGAACTCCCACGTGACTGATGGTTCAAGTCCTGAACCTGGTGGCTTGTTTTGTCCCTTTCCCTCTCTCTCTCACTCTGTCCCTCTCTGATCAAATCAAAATAAATGAGATTAAAGAAAATAATTCTTAAAAAAAAAAAAGGACTTTGTTTTCTACCTAGTGAGCAAGATTTTCAGTATTTAATTGTACTTTCCTGGCTAAGTTATAGTTTAAAACAATTCTTCCCTAAATGGAAGAAAATGTTCTGGATATGTAGACTAATCCAAGGAAAGACTTTTTTTTTTTTGAAGAGGTTTTTTGCTATAGGGCGCGTGCGCTCGCCAGACAGAGACAGATAGAAAGCAAGAAATCACCCCCCAAAGGGCGATGGCCACACTGCAATCCCTTCTCCTCCACTCTCCTCTCGGGATCTTGGGCACACACGCACACGCACCCAGCGTGAGTTTAAGCCACCTGGTCTGGGATGCGAACCGCGGTCAACTACGTGGGAGTCCAGTGACATAGCCATTTACCTAACTGCTGGTCCTGAGAGAAAGACATTTGAAATACCAAAATTGAATAGGTAATCTTAAATACAGGAAATTTGTACTTTGCTAAATATTTGTAATGTCCTGGTGTATACCTGGACTTTCAGTCTGTTTTGCTGGTTAACTTAGGCACCTGTGCTTTAACTTTTTGTTAAATTGGGATTTAGGTGGTTACATCGAAGTTAAGTGTCAAAGGTCATTCCATTTTAGTACATTGTTTTCTTGCTAATATGTTTCCTCTAGCATGCAATTTTAAGTATAATCATTTATCTGCAGTATTTTGTAAAACTAGGTATAACGGTAGGTCATAGAGACGTTTAAAGTCTTGCTTAAGAATGTGAGTTCACCGCAACAGCAGACAGTGTAATAATGGTTACATTGCTGGACTCCCATGTAATTGACGACTGCGGTTCAGGTCCTGCACAGTTTAAAACCCACACTGGGAATGTGTGGGTGTGTGCTCAAAGCCCGGAGAGCATGGAGAAGGGATTGCAGTGTAGCTATTTCCCCTGGCGGGTGATTTTTTGCTTTCTGTCTCTGGCAAGCACATGTGCCCTATAGCAAAAATATCTCTTTTTTTAAAAAAGTATATGAGTTCACTCTTCAAAATGTAAGGGGTGGCAAGTTGTAAACATCATTTACTTCGTATTACTGTACAAGCATTTTTAAACAAAGCTTTTATTATGCCATTGCGTGTTTGTTAACAAAAAATTACAAAGTGGCCAGCCCTATAAGACAATGGTTAAGTGCCATGCATGGGAAGCCAGATCCCACATAGCTGATTGTGATTTGAATTCTGCCCTGGCAACTTCAAAAATAATGCCAGGTGCATGTATGTGCCCAAAATCCTGATGGAAAGAAGTGGAAGAAAAATTATTATAGCATGACCATATTTCATTGGGAGATAACTTCTCCCCTCTCTCTAGACTGCAAGCACCCACTGGCAATAAGAAAGAAAAAATAATAAAACAAAATACAGTGTAGTAAAAGGGAAAAAATCCTACTTAAAAGGTGAGTGTTACAAATGGTTTAATGTTTCAAATTTTTCTTCTCTTTTAAACTTTTGTATGATTCTCTTAATGTTTTTTTCTGAATATTGAGGTAATTTACTGAGTAAAATAAACATGTGCTCCCCAAACAAAAATTACCTGTAATCCTACTATTTAGAGAAAATATAATTCTTTTTTTTAATTGCCAGATGCTACGTGAGAGAGGGAGAGAGACCTTCCTGAAAGGGGTGTGGTCACACTGCAATCCTGTCATTTCTTCATCCCCTTAGGATTTAGGGGCGTGCATACACATGCACCCAGAATGATTTCAAGCCAATAGGGCTGGGATTTGAACCGCTGTCAGCTATGTGGGATCCAGCTTCCTTACTAGGCTACCGGACTGGTCCAAGAGAACCACTCTTAACAAGTTACAGCTTATTTGTATGTATGTAAATCATTTTTTAAAAAAAGATGGTCTTACACTGTTCAATATTAACTGTTATAATATCCTGATATTAAACTTAACATACAGAGTTTATATACCTCCATTATAATATTCCATTATGGATATATCCACTTCTTATAATCTGATTATCAACTTCTTTTGGCTATCAAGTAATGCTGTGACAAATCTCATGAGTCTAACAAGTTCCTGAGGAATAATACATTTAATACATGGAATTGGTGGGTCAAGTTAATGCATATTTTTTGAGACACATATACTACCAACTCTTAGAATAGTGTACTTCATACTGCATTTGAAATCCCATTGCCTGCAAAGAGCTAAGTTATCTCCATTTCAGAGATATGATCTGATGTTACATTTTTTAGATGAGTATTACTGTTTTTTTTTTTTAATGAGTAGGTGAGTTTATAACTAGCAATGCAATATAACTTATCTACCTCAGTCTTAAATGATGAAAGAAGTGTAGCTGAACACGGATTCTTCACAAAGATAATGCTGGGATAAGTGTGGGAGTTGGGTTCTTTACATTATCACTGTGTATCTTACGGTTACCTTATGAGGAAATAAATGCATATAGGACCATTTGTGATGTATTATACTTAGTAGAGGTTTTGAGAAATCA